AATGTTAATTACCCCAATCAATGGATTGGCCGTGCAGGACCAGTGGCTTGACCTGCACGCTCTTCAGACCTGACACCACTGGATTTTTTTGTTTGGGATGACGTTAAACAAAAAGTCTATGCAAGTCCGGTCTTGCCTTAATTCCTTACGAAGAAGGATAATTGAATCTCGTGAAACAGTAACACATATCCACTGCCGTTCTGCCACTGCTGCTGTTGAAGAAACATGCTGGGCCTCTCTTAATGCTAAATGAAATCACTTTGAACAACATTTAATATGAATTTAATGCCTACGTTTAATAAAATAGAAATTTTATTTACTTAATATTACGTAAATAATTCTTAACCATGAAAATCTTTAGGAGTGAATGTCTCCTAAACAAAGCGTTTGCGGACATATCTTCGGAGGATTTTTTTTCTTTTTTTGGGGTCCTTTTTATATTTTTGTAGTTTGGCCACTCAACCCTGAAACACCCTTTATATGCAAATTAATTTAAGCAAAGGGAATATCAACTTTCGGTATTAGGTATTCTAAAATATGTATCGGACTGAGGGAACCATGACTGAACAACTATTGACCAGTAATTACCAGGGCACTAACCTTTATAAGTATCATTATGGAAATTCATCTCAATTTCCACGGACTCGAAGATTATCTAGGGGGAAACACGTGCTTCTTATCCTTCTCTACCAGAATGTATTTATTTAAATTCACAAATGTATGTATTTTATAGTTTTGTACCTTGTAAATGGCGTGGTTGTACACCAGATAAAGTAGATATGTTTATTAATTGTTTATTTAACCCCACTTTCAATTTAATTTATAGTGAGCTTTAGGATCATATTGCCGTTACTAAATTTAATTAATTTTTTTATTATTTATATTTGCTTATTTATTTTTTTATCCATTTCTTCCTCGTCGTTTTGGTTACCTTATACAGGAAATTAATTTTAAAATAACTTAGAAATATATATATTTTTTAATTCATGTGCACGATATATTTACATAAATCTAATGTCATTACAAATTAATTTCCATATTTATTTACTAATTTCCTGAAATCTCTTGATCTTCTGATTTCTGGGAGGAGAGGGGAACGTTTTTAATACTAAACATAATATTTAGTTATTTCATTTTGTTTCAGATCAAAGAGATGAGGAACTGAATACCTCAAACACTGGTATCTCCAATTTATTTATTATATAAAAATATAAAAAAATGTCCAAGGGCCAGATTGCTGTAATACTCAATAAATAAATAAAAAGAAAAATATAAAATAACCATTAAAATGATAACTTTTAAATGCTGTTTAGTCACATTCCTTGCTGATATTTTCAAGAAACATGGTCAAAACTACAATAGGATACTATTTTCAACATATTAAAAAAAAAACTTGAAGGATATTAATTTAAAATTGAATTATATATTTCAATCAAGGATGCACATGTTAATATTAATCCTTTTCACACATTTTTTTTATATTATGATAATGAACTTTATTCCACATATTTGCGCCATTAATACTTTCGGGAGGGTCGGATCGATATTATAACCGATCTAACATTTCTGCAGAACTTGATATAACATAACAATCCATTAAAAAATATAAACGCGTTCCATTGAATTGCAGAGCTGTGTCCAGAAGAAATACTGGTGGCAGGGGTTGAAATAAACTCAAAAGAAACTGTAATGACTCAAAAGAGCGGCAAGGACACACAAAATTTCACCCACTAGATCCCCCAAAAAATGTGCCTATTATGGAGATGAGATGAATTTTTCGAGTATTCTGTGTATTCTTTGTAGTGTGTAATGATGAAGATTTTTTTTTTTTTTATCTAGAAAATACTAACAGCCACAAGGTCAAAGTTTGCAAGTGTGAAACTTAAAATTATTCATAAGCCGAAATAAACTATACATTTTCATTACTAGATTTTTCCTTTAATTTTTATTGGTTAGTAAAGATGTAAAGGTCTAACAACGTTCTTGGTTTGTGTATCAGAACATTATCGCGGCCTTCTGCATTTCCTTGTAAAAATATTCTTATATGCTTTTGCTTTTACAGTATGGCTGTCGATATATTTCAAAAACCTTTTTTATGTTTTTTTTTTTTAATTATGCCTCTCTTTATCGGCTTGCGCAATTAGGGACCTTGCAGCCCAGTACCATTCCGATTAGGACGATGTGGTATCTCTGTAGTTCAATAAGCGCGGGCATAAACTTAAATGGACTGCATCCATAAGTGCCCCCAAATTAAATGGACTGCAGCGTGGAAAATCCTCCACTTATATTTTAAGCAGATGTTTCCTAAAGTAGTTGTGGTCTGTTATCATTTGGAATTCTGTTAGTTTCCTTTCTTGGATTTACTGGTACTCGTTCTGCTTCATTAAGAAATTTTCTCTATTGCTTCTCCTCAACGGAGGAGCAATTTTCTCTATTGCTCTTGACGGATACTAGCCTCATTTGCCTTATGGAGAACATCCAATTTTTTGACTGGTTGAATGGCGATCCTTCCTTGGCAAGTTCATCGTTGCCTTGCAAACCACAGTGACTTGGTATCCATTTAAATAATACTCCTATTCCTTGAAGAAACAGTCCCTCTTCGATCTTTTGGCACTTCAAAATATCTTGAGGAAAAGGGTCACTAGCCTAACCGCCTCTGAATCCACAAAAATATGATGTTTTTGGAATTGGATCCCTATTGTTCCACCATATTATAATAATATTTATATTCCTAACCCTTATTTGTTCTTAGTATTGGTTGCGTCTCTATTTTTTTTTTTTTCCTGATCACTTAATTTATCTTTATTTCTGCTATTCATCTTTTACTCTTTGTTTATTTATGTGCTTCTGTCTTTATCATATACTTCGGATTTAATTTAAATTATGACCATGACGATTACCCATCAGGTTTCCAAACTTTGTCAACCTCAATGAAAATTTTATGACTGTAAATCCCGATTTATTCATCATCCCCGACGAATTCTTTTTATATTTAAAAAAAATAAAAATTGACTATACCTGTTGAAGTCATTACAGTACCCAATTGTTTTTTGTTTTTTTATTTAGCCCCCTAATATGTGTTATTGATATTATGATAACTTATCCTTGTGGGTTGGAACTCCTTGTACATCATTGATGGTATGCATTGTAATGGAGAGATCAGGATATAAAATTGATAAAAATTGATATAGAAATAAACCGATATAATAGTGATGGGGCTTTATCGTTTTTAACTTATTAACTAGTCTTGTGTCGGTCTAGTATCTAATTCAGTACAATTAAATCGTAATTATAAACTAGTGATGAGGAAGTATAGTTAGTGAAATAGTAAATTCCATGTTAAAATAATTCCGTGTTTTACAGAAATCAAATTATCGAAAGATTATATGAGATTTTGAAAACATCTTTCTTATGGGATTGCACACTTCAGTATATTGGAAAACGCCATGGAATAAACGTATCTTAATAAACGGCGAAAGATTCCAAAGAAATGAATTGGATAATACTTATAGAATATAGAGAGGAAAACCAGAGAAGACATAATCATTTCTTTAGTTCAAGTCATAAAAAAAAGAAACTTTTAGACACGTAATGAAAACCAAAGTTGGAAAATACATATTTCCTTTATTTTATGCAAATGATGAAGACCTAAATTAAGCTTTTTTTTTACTGTGTTAAAATCGCTTAACATGGCGTCAGAGATTTGCAAAAAAAAACTAAAAAAACGACCCACTTACCAGACTTACTCTCTACTGATACCAGTACCATTTAATAAATACATATATTTATTTTCATTTAGGTTTCATTTTTTGTTCTCCAGGCACTTTTCTAGGCCAAATACTGACAGCAATTTAATTTAATATTCTAAAACTTCATGAAAGACACCAGTGAAATACTTATCTATACCCTTTCTCATCTTTATATCTAGATTATACAATTTTTTTAAAGAATTATTGTGAATAATTTAATAATATATACAGTATTATTTTTACACTAATGCAAATTGCATATACATCCGTGTGGCTGTTCATCTGAAGTACCAGTCTTCTTAAAAGACTTACTTTATCCTTTTTTTTAATTACACAAGACTTAATGTGACCAGATAAATTTAATGTTTAAAATATATTTCGTTAGGATACTATAATCTGGCGCTTCCAACTCTTAATAGATCAGGTCGCTGGTAGATATCTCGCTTTTGAATACATCACACAGATGACATGAAATTAAGAAATTATTTAAATTTAAAAGTAATATTACTGAACTCTCAATCTGTTTTTTTTTCTAACCCCTCCCCCCCCAAAAAAAATATTTAATTAAATTGGATATATAAGTATAACAATACAAATACATACAAATAACAAAATCCTTCTACTGCCCGAGGGCAAACGAAAAAAAAATTAATTCTATTTCTGGTTCTGCAAATATAATAAATTACGGGAATGAAGATGATGCTAATTTGTTTTTCCACATTAATTGTGAATTGGGAGAATAAAGGCACTATATAAAATGGAGAGGTTATTATTTGATGAGTTATGATAAAGATCCTTATCAAGAAAATCGATTTTTATATAACTACTGTTTATCCCTGAAATATTACTAACTCATCTTTGTTGAATTGTTAAATATTATTGGAAGTATGTATTCCTATGAATGATGGTTCATAGACCGATATTTACTGGAAATTATAATTACTTTATCAGAAAAATTGGTCAAACAGCTGTTGACAAAAGGTTATGTAATATATTTGTAATAGAAACTACGATAACGATTAATAATGTTTTGGTTGATTTTTTTGTTGTCGTTAAGTGTGAGAAGAAATAACCTGTAAGCTGAAAAAAAAAAGATTTGTGCTTTAAAACTGACATTATTATAATGGATATGGATATAATTATAAACATATTTGGATTATCTTGTGCATGCCTGATGTCCAGCCAACCTACCTTCCTATCATTCATTACATGTGAGGTATTGATAAAGTTTAAGAGGTGACACGAGCGTACCTGATGTTAAGTGCCGACCTGGATCTATGGTCCCCACAGACGGGACGAAGTGTCCCTCCAGAAATGACGGCGCTGTCCCAGGAAGAATCATCGCTGAAGCTGGCGGGTGCCATACCAAGACTGCCCTAGGAGGACCTTCCTCTGTTTACGTGGTAGGTCGCCATGGGGACGGTCACGTGGCAGCCACTGCTGTCTGGATAGGGAGTATTTTTAGTCGAGTCACTCAGCTCACCTCTTGCTTATCCCTTCTTCAAGAAAATGATTGGGGAATGTCCCTATGTATTTATCTTTATCCACTTCACACACATCGATTGGACCTTCCAAATTTCTAGATTTGCTTTTTTTCTTCTTTTTTTAATGTGTTTTTTAAATCAATGAAAATCGCTAATTTCCATCTTCCTCATACATTGTAAACCTTGAAAGGAGTTCATTGAAAAATTGTAAATATTTCAGGTATTGAAGTCCCAATAAATTATATTAAAAAAAAAAAAAATTATCGTGAAATCAAACGTTATTAATATTAAAATACTATTTACAGTTAGTATAGTAAAGTTCCCTTTTTCGGCTCTCATGAGCGGTGGATTTTGATGGATGATTGGAATTTAAGAAACGATAGAGAATTTCATAGGTGAAATCCTAAATTCGAATCTTAAATACTTTAAGAACGTTTTTAAAAGATTTAAAACACTTTACACTCAGATGGTTACAAAAGTCAACGGATCGAGTATAAGTTTTCTTTTTAAGATTTTTATGCGGACATTTAGGCTCAATATAGTCCCAAGGAAACAGTTTTGAACCTTTGTGCTTCAAAGCCCTAAATTTCCCATCTTCCAGATAAACTATAATTTTTACCTAAACCCTCTCAGGTGATATGGTTGTTATGGAATATTTATTATACATACTTACATAAGTTTTAAAAATTAAGGTATTGCTGGTTAAGGTGAGCGGGATTTTAAGTTCCAGTTTTTAAACAACCTCAACTATTATTTAGAAAATGACCTATTAATAAAATGTATGCTAACTTTGTACATAAATTTATACATACTATATAAATCCCAACACTTTTGGATCGGGATGGGTAAGATTGCAAAGTAGCTGATACAAGCAGGAAGTACAACCCAAAAGTATCTGATATGGATACAAATTGTTATACAGACTCGCCAGATAAATATAACAGGAATGTTCTTTGTTTAGTTATATTTATAGTTGTACACAATTTCTTTAAAACTTTAACATTTATTTTAATTTATGTAATGTATTAATTTATTAATGTATTACAGAAATATCGTAACGTATTTATTTCCCAATATTTCCATAAGAAGACCAAAATTAAAATTAATCAGCTTATCATTTTTTGGTTACCAAGTACAACATCCCAAAGAAAGATAATCGATTGATGTTTACTAAAAATAAATTCGATTTTCATAAATACATTACAACTCTCTCCATCCCAAAAAAGTAACATAATTTAAATTAATTCAATAACACGTCCTGGTCGAGTACCCTAGGAGGTCGAGGTGACTTGAAAGGGCCTGGAATATCGTCTAGTGGTTTCCGAGAAGCCGAGACATCCGACGTCATCTGTCCATTGTTTGAAATATTCGGAGTCTGTAGTCTGCCGGTGTTGCTATCCTCTTCTAAAATTACCTCGTCACTCCTCCCTCGCAGTTTATCTGTGTGCCTGATCCAACAATCGTTACATTCTGGCACAAACACACTAAAATGTCTAGGTGCAAGTGTTTTTTGAATAGTTCCTTTCTTCCGTGATCTTCTGCTACAATCCATCACTCATACCTTCTCATTCAAATTAAGCTTCACCTTCCTTCGAACCTCTGGCATACTCCACTTGTTTTTTTTGTTATTTTTTTCTGTAGGCATTACAGACATTGAAGATCTTTTGCCGCCTTAACAAGACCATTCCATCTCTGCCTATCTCGGACTTTTCTTTCCAGTTGTCTCCATGCAGCTCTACTGCATCTGTGTTGATCGAACTGTTAACCTCCTTTTTGGCCTTCCACGTGGTCTTTTGCCTACTATTTAGTCATCCATTGTCTTCCAGATGGATTGCTTCTAGCTTTATGCCCCGCTCATCTGAATCTCGATGTCTTTATATTATTAGATGAGTTATTTTCATATCAGATATCATTTCTAGTGTAAATATAAAAATCGAAAATTTTTAATATCGATTATGTATTTAAGTAGCGGTGAAGAACTTTTGTTCAATAAGAATCTCAATTACGGCTAGTGTTGCCCAAAATCGGTCTTGGTCTTGCATTCCGGCAACACTAATTACGGCTTTCTGCTTTTCCAACCTCGATATATTTTTTTAATTATGAATATGGTTTCCCTTGGCTCTTCTTTTTATATCTTCATAGTATTACTTACGATTTATAGACGGTGGTATAGACCCATTTTTATCAAATTATTGACCGCCTAAAGCTTCGTAAATATCTTCATCTCATCGTAGCCTACAAATATTATAAGTGCGAATTTTTATAAGTGGTATTTTTCAATCTCGAGTATCAGCAAACTTTGTTTATTTAATTAAGTACAAATGAACTCATGAGCACCCATTTGGTTCCTCTTAAATCGTAAGTTAATATGATCGCAAAGTCGGAAAAAAGAGTGGCCTACAAAAATATTGATCCGTTTAACCTGTTCTACACCCCGAAAAAGGTAAAATAACGAGATTATATATGCCGAACGCCACAGTATTTTTGCCACAATTTTTTTCTCGATTTTTTATCTTATTATCTTTCGATTCAAGTGAAAACCAAATGGTTATGAATTTTTTAGAACCTAATTAAATGTATTTTAAGTGTGCCAATCTCCAGATTGAAAACGGCCCAATTCCGAGAAGTTTTGTAAATAAAATATTTGTAGGTTACGATGAGATGAAGCTATTTACGAAGTTTCAGGTGGATGTTAATAATTTGATAAAAAGGGGTCTGTACCGCGGACTATTATTCTTGCTAACTGATTTATTATTAATTTAATTGATCGATCCTCTGTAATTACCGCTTCATGACGAAAACCCAGATATAATATGAGAATTATGTTTCTACAACGAGTAATAACATAGATATAAGTTTATAAACCAAGCATTTTCTAATGTAATCTGTACTTCTTTGGTCACTTTTCGTTCATCGAACAACCAGCCGATAATCAGGCTCCCATCATTAGAATGAGGTTATGTATGATGAACAATGGCAACGGAAACATCCGCTGGCAATAATAAACACTGTAAGGAGGAACAAAGGGAGGCTACTGATCCCAAGACACGCCTTTGTCGAGGGTCAGCTGGTAGATTGGCTACCACGATGTGGTCCAAGAGGCTCTTCTTTGTGACTTGAGAGGAAAATATGTTTAAGATATAGAAAATGATAGCAATATTGATCAATAATCCCATAATTTGTCTTGTAAATCAAAAGAGGAATATTTTAAGTTTATAATAATTATAATTCGCAACCTTCGATATCACCAACTAGCCATAGCGCGCTTATAAAGTTTCAACTTAAAAATTAAAAATACCAAGGACAATTAAAAAAGCGTATACTCTTTGAGCTATTCGGAATTTAATTTTACCATCCCCCGTAACTTTTTTTCCAGCTTCTTTTCGTAGAATTATTTTATATAGATAAATTTAAAGGGCGTCGAGAAAATGACTTCAGCGAAGTTTCATTGAAATTGGTGCATTCGTATAAGCGCTACAGTCTATATATAAGATAAAGTAGTAGAAAGAATTCAATAAAATTGACACTACATTATTTTTTCACCAATATATATATTTCATCCAACTTTGAGCAAAATCGAACAAGCCGTTTCTGAAATATTGGCAGATCTATAAAAAAAAGTTTGCGCATGTGTAAGCGGAAGTAGTCGTTAGAATTTAATATAATTGGTATGGGACCATTTAGACACCAACCTGCACAATTCCTGAAAATTTCATAAAAATCAGATAAACTGTGGCACTTTCGATGCCGGTGAAAGTACATAAAATACTTTAATACAGTACTTTGCCTATAGATTAGTAATCCGATGGAACTAAATTATTAATTAGTTCTGATAAGATAATTGCTAGCTCAAGTGTTAGTCTATAACCAGACTTGAAGTTTATATATTACAGAACGAATCAGTAACTGAAGTGGAATAATTATGCAGTAGTGACCCCGATTAAATCTATAACTACTGGAAATATCAACACTCTATTTAATCGCTCAATCGAAATTAATTTTAGGTTATAAATAATTTAATTGTATGTTATTTTTCAAAACCCTACTCTTTATTACAAGTAATTTGTCCCATTGAAATATGTTTCTTTAATATCCAATAAAACAGTTAATTTTTGACAATTTTATTTATTTATTAGCTGTTAATGTAAGCACTCTTTGATTCGCTAAACAATTATGAAGCTACTTGCTTACCTCGGTAACAGGGCTGCCTAGAAAGGAATTGCATCACAATTTTCGAGATAGATACATTTTAATGTGGTTAGATTTTTTTGAGAGGGACAAATCTTTAAGGGTTAATGACTCTTTTAAAGGAATCACAGTTTTATGAGGTGTCAATTTGGAGGAACTTTCAAACCAGCCAACAAGGGGAAAAACAGAACAAACTACAGCGAATATATGATCTAAAATGTTTCAAATTATACTTTCACATTCACTGGTTTTATGAAATGAATAGTTATAGTTAGAAAATTCGCGTCCCAGTGTCGATGGCAGGGGATTTTAAATCTGGCATTAATTCTTCGCCCTTACCCCCTGGTCTGGGAAACCCGATATAGCCAAAAAAGCTGAAGAAGAGAAGAATAAAAAAAAAAAAGAACAAAAAAAAAGCCATAACATTTCTGAGAGGTGGCCGAGCGCACTAATACGTCTGCAGGTTGTCCGTCAACCTGCTAAATTAAAGATTAGGAGTTCGAGTCCCGGTGATGTGACTTGTAGCTGTGGCATAAACCTCTCATCCTCTCCCCTTTTCCGGGAAAAAAACAGTGTATCCGAAAGGTGAGGTAGGGAAAAAAAATCTATGTAGTTTATTGAATAAAGGTATACCAGGAGAATGCATTCCTCTGATCGGCAATGTTTATTTATATGTATATTTTCTTAAAGTATTATTAAATAATTTTAACACAACTGGATATGAAGAAATAACAAAAATAATATCATTGGAGATATATATTTTTGACTTCCTAGATTGTAAAAGTATAAGATTATGCGGCCATGGGAGATTCCATTACAGTTTAGTAGCTCGGAATAGAGGAGAACCAGTACTGGGAAGATCATATGAAGAGTCTACCCTAAACTGGAGAACAAGTCATGG